AATATGTTTTTTTCCACTATTGGACAAAATCTAGCAAAAAAAATAGATAAATGTTTTGATGAAGTTTCTGATGAGCGTACACCAGTGATCAATTTCAACAATTTATTCTCGGTAAAAATACACTCGATGGAAATCATGAATATAATAAATCATTTTAAAGACGATGTGGCCTGTGGTTTTGATAAAATTAATGTCAAAATTTTAAAAAACTTAGCACCGTATATAATAAATCCTTTAACACACATATTCAATTTAAGTCTGAGACTTGGTATTTTTCCAGATAAATTAAAAGTAGCAATAATTAAACCTCTACATAAAGGTGGTGATAAAGAAAATATGAACAATTACCGACCAATCTCTATGTTGAGTAGCTTTTCAAAAATTTTTGAAAAAATTATCAAAGCTCGTTTGATAGATTATCTGGAAAATAACAGTCTTCTTTCTAAAAATCAATATGGATTCAGACCTAGGAGAAGTACCGAAGATGCTTTATATGCTGTCACAACATTTATATCTAAAGCACTCGATAAAGGTGATAAAGCATTAGGTATATTTCTAGATTTAGCGAAAGCTTTCGATACTGTAGACCATAGTTTATTAATTAAAGTTTTCAGTAGTTATGGTATAAATGGTATTTGTTTAAACTGGTTCAAAAGCTATCTAAATAAGAGGAAACAAATTACAAATATGAATGGAGTTTTGGGACAGGTAAATGAAGTTATGTATGGTGTACCTCAAGGTAGTATTCTAGGTCCAATTTTGTTTATTATGTACATTAATAGTCTATGTGATATGAGAGTTGATGGAAAAATAGTTGTATATGCGGATGATACATGTCTGTTATTATCAAGTAGTAATTGGGAAACTCTTAGACAAAAAACGGAATTAAATTTCAAGAAAATAATAAAGTGGTTAAATATTAAAAAACTTTCTTTAAATTTCAACAAAACAATGTTCATGGTTTTTTCAATAAATTATACTTTACCACCGTTTGAAGAAATTACATTACATGACTGTTCAATTGTATCAAACTGTAACTGCCCGAAAATCAATATAGTAAAAAGAATTAAATATTTAGGACTAATATTCGATTGTAACCTCAAATGGAATATTCACATCAATAGTTTAATAGTAAAATTGCGATCGTTAATGTTCAAATTTCATATATTAAAACATATAACATCATCTCATACATTGAGAATAGTTTATCTTTCTCTATACCAATCTTTATTGCAATATGGCATGGTAATTTGGGGAGGTGCATCCATAAATGTTCTTAAGCCATTAAGGGTTCAGCAAAATAGTTTAATTCGTATATGTCTGAAAAAGGACAATCTTATTGGGTCTACCTCGTTAAACTATATAGAGTTTAATGTGTTTCCGCTTGAATTACTTTACAAAAAATCCGCAATCATGTTTGTACATAAAAAATCAGACTTTTTCTTTATTAAACAGAATGACAAGCCTTTGGGGGAAGATAGACTATGTAATATTAAAGTCTTATTTACTAATACGAGTTTTGGTCAAAAATTTATTAATTATATGGGTCCTGTCATTTTTAACGCCTTGCCAATTGATGTGAAAAAAAATATTTTTAATGATCAAATTAACATAAAAAAATGTATAAACAATATTTTATCTAGTGAACTAAGGCAATGTCTATTATAAGAAAATTGTATATTTTAGTATCTCTTAATTATTTTAATTATTTTACAATGTTGGTTATTATTTGTTAAATTAAGTAATTAATTAAATCATATATATATGTACTGTTACTCCCTACACCACCACAAGCCTAGCTTAAAGGTGTAGGTAATTTTTATTATTTTCTTTAAATACTTTGTTTGTATTGTGTTTTCAAATAATAAAAAATTTTCAAAAAAAAAAAAAAAAAAACTTGAGGCGAGCCACATTGTAAAGCGATGTTTTTGAAATGAAGACACATTGGAAAATGAACTCAAATGAAGGAACGTTTATTTTTTACATTACATAAAACATTATTATTATTGACATAGTTATTAACATTATTATTGATTTATTTATGAGAAGTGCTTTTTCGAGTGTTCATTTTTTCTGTAAGCTTTGTGAAATCTAGCTGATAATTTGTAAGCGCAGTTCGCACAAGTTCACTTAAATGTTCATCAGTTAGTTCAGATCGATATTTAGATTTAATGAATTTAAGCGTTTCATAGCACACATTTTTGTTTGTGAGTATTTTTCTTCTGGGACATTTTTCCAAAATTCTATGGTAGAAACGCCACTTTGTTTAAGTCCTTTTAGTCCTTCGTCCTCTTGCAGTTCTAGTAACTCCAGCTCTACAGCTACTGTATCCTTTGTTATTGGTGATGAAATAGGACAGCCATCGCTCACAACATCAACAGCAAAAGGATTTTCCAGGAATGAAAATGAAGGTTTAAGTGATCTTAAATCATTAAATCTGCGATTGATTTCTTCAGCAAGGACTGACATCTTATTCATATATTCTTCAGTTTCCACCGGAATGTCGGGAAAGCTTTCACTAATTTTCTTCAAACATTTGAAGTGAGCAAATGTTTTTGTCTGAAGGTCTTTTGTAAAAAGCTTTAACTTGTTATGAAAGCTAAATACAGTCTGGGCCAAATCAGAAATAAGTTTTTCCTTTCCTTGTAAAGATTTATTTAGAGTTTTAAATACTGAACCACATCTGTAAAAAAGCCAAATCTAACAACCACTGGGGTTCATTAAGTTCAGGAAAAGATTTTCCTTTTTCTTCCCTAAACTGTTTGATTGGATTAAGTAACTCAAAAAAACTGCCAAGAACATTGCTTATTGATAGCCATCTCACTAAGCAGTACCAAGATACATCATTAGGTAACTCATAGTTGTTCATATCTTCTATAAAAGATTTGAACTGTCGGTGTGTTTTGGCACTTGAGCGAATACAGTTTACAATTTTTAGAACTATCTGCATAATATTTGGATATTGAAAATATTTTTCTGCTAAATGTTCTCTGTGAATATACAATGTACAGGTAGAAAATCAGGATATGATGTGTCAGCTTTTAATAGTCCAATAAGTCCTTGTTTCGTACCAGTCATAGAAGGTGCACCATCGGTAGCAATGCTGACAATATTAAAGATAGGCACTGCGTGTTTCTGTAAAACCCCATCCAGGGCTTCTTTAATGTCACAACCCCGAGTACTATTCTTCAAAGTAACCAGGTCCAAGAGTTCTTCCACCACCTCCAAGTCTTTTGACACATACCTCACAAATATGGCAAGTTGTGGCATATCTTTAATCAGTGTTAGGAACAGATAACAAAAAATCATCTGGATAAAGATAACAACACTAAATTTTATCTATGATACAGATAAAAGATAAACAAATTAAATTCATCTAACAAAAAGATAAAAGATAAAAATATTTTATTCAGATTAATAACAGATAATTATAGAAATTAAAATTAAAACAACTAATTTAAAAAACATATATACCGTCATGTAAGTACTTGCCTATATAATATGTTTATTTTCGACTTAACTTATTATACCATGTTGTGTATCACCAAACATTAACTTCAACACATATTATATAAGGAAACAATAAAATCCCAGGGACTCTAGGGAGTAACAAAGTATAAATAAAAATGGGGGAAGTCACCCTGCTGTAAAGTAAGAGTCGAGTGGACCAAAAACAAAATACACCTAGTTAATAATATTTTTAGAAATAATATTTCTTACAAGTTAAAATTAAAAAAAAAAACATTATTGAGAAAATTAAATATCATAGAAACAAAAAAATATACTTCAAATGAAGTAATACAACTTTTTTTTAATGTAAATAAATTAGGTAGATTATATAAAAAAAAAATTCAAGAAATTACTATGTAAAACATAATAATCAAAAGGTACTTACCTAGTTAATAATATTTATTAAAGGTACAACATAAAATTTGTTAAATATGTTCTAAATCTAAATAATAAAAACAAATACTTCAAATCAAGTTATAACATTTTTAAAAATTAATATTAATTAAAAATATTATTAAAAATAAAAAGAATACAAGATAATGATTACTCGCAAATCACAATATAGGTATATAGGTATATTAATAATAAATATTAATTATACCTATTGTAGATATTAGATACAATATAAAAATGGTTTAGAAAGTAATATTAAGGGGGTTCGAAGCGGTGATTTAATAAGGGGTCGTGTATAGGCAATTCTATGTCTTATATTCGTTTCGCAGGGTGATTGGGTGCGAAGTAAATGATCATTAATGTGCGTAGATACGTTCGGAATCAGTGGTTCGCACGCGCATGCACATGTCACATAATAAAATATTTGTTCCAACGAGAAACTAATTTCAATCAATTGAGACCTAAAAGCCTGACAAAAATACGATAACTTAGAATGATCAGATTTTAGTTCTGTAAACATATTTGAATTCATCGTTCTTTTTTCTAGGTTATTGTGGGAGTCGATTTTTGAATAACTGTTTAACTATTTAAAGAAAGACACAAACAATTTTTAAAAAATTGAGAAATCGAAATATGATTTAACGTGAATTCTAAAAAAAATATCGAAAATTGATTCCCACAATAACCTAGGAAAATTGTCAATGAACTCGAATCTTTTTACAGAATTGAAATCTGATAATTCTAAGTAGGCGTATTTTTGTCAGGCTTTTAGGTCTAAATCATGAAATAAATACGCTGCTTCGAATCACCTAAAATAAGTAGGTATTAAAAATACCTTACCAGCAACTATAAATACCTAATAAATATAATATCAATAACTGAAAATTATATAATATTTTTATTAAATGAGGTAAAATTATTATTAGTACCTATACTAGGTTTTTAACTAGTGTTAAGTTAACTTACATTTAAAATAGGGCCGTAAGGTCCAGTTGCAAGATTTCCTAAATCAGAATGTTGGAGTTCATTTTTGTTGTGTGGAAATGGAAATATTTCGACAAGATTAGCATCAGTTTGATTCACTATAAAATTTTTTTCTATAATTTCAATCCACTGGCTAATGTTTTTTCTGATCTTTTATTACTAGTTAGAATAATGTGAGTCAACGATTTAAGTACATCTATATAACGTTCTTTCAAGGAAAATATTGCATCATGTCGAGCTTCCCACCTAGTAGGGCACACTTTTTTTAAAACTTTTGTACGGATTTTAATAGAAATATCATGTCCAAATGCTAAAAGAGCCCATCTTGGCGCACTACTACCAAAAAAATTAAAAATTGCTTGAACTGTGTCAAAAAAATTTAATACTTTACTATGACATTTAGCTGCATCAGATATTACTAAATTAAGATTGTGACTACAACAATGAATATATGAAGCTGATGGAACAAGTTCTTTTATTCTAGTTTGGACGCCAGAATGGACTCCGCTCATCACAGATGCCCCATCATAACCTTGTCCATGGCATTTGTTAATATCCAAGTCAAGTTTTGATAGAATTTCACATATCATCTGTGTATAATCAGCAGCTCCGTGGTGTTTTAACTCAAAAAAACCTACAAATGACTCCTTAACTTCTAGTTTCTTCTCTTCAAAATTTATGACAGTATACCGAATAATAACACTCAGCTGATCCAGTTTAGTTATATCTAAAGTAGAATCCATTTTAATGGAAATACATTGGCATAACTTTATTTCATTACAAATAGTTTTGAGTAGATCAGAAGATAAAATTCCAATTAATTCATCAACTATTGTGTAACTCAGATACTTGATTTTGCTTTTCTCCCAATTAATAAGTTTGCTCAATATGGGATCATAATTTGCAACTAATCTAACGGTTTGTAAAAAATTACCTTCGGAAAACTTTTTTGAGCTAAATTTACCTTAATTTCCTCGAAGAGCAGTATTTCCACTAGTTAAATGTAAAATTATCATTATAATTCTTTCCAGTACACTTCTCCAGAATGCAGCCTCTTCCGATACTTGATTTTCTAGTTGACTATCTAAAACTTTATTCTTTGCCCACAGAGATCGAATTTTTACAGATTCAATATGTTGAATTGAACTTTCATGTTTAAATATTTTTTGAGAAAGATGTTGCCAGTTATCTATTCCAGTAATCCATTCAGACTTATAATTTATATATTGTCTGTCAGCAAAAAGCCAACATGATTCACAATAAACATAATTTAGGATAGGTGAATAGCAAAGCCATGTACGAGGAATACGATTACCAGATTTTGATGATAAATAATAATATTCTACTGAAAATTTTCTTTTGTCTTCATTGCGAGGAAATTCAATTTTTGGTCTACATGGTCCATGTTCTATAATAGATCTTTTGATTACACTTGTTAATGTTATTCCAAGAAAATGTGCTTGATCAGTTGGATAATCATGAAGTAAGTTCAGACCTGAATAAAGTAAATTGAACCATTAAATTCAAAATAATACTGAAGGTACCTATCACTAATGGTTTTTTTATTATTGTATTCAATACTAAAATTTTAATTGTAATGAATTGAACACTTTTGTTTGAAAAAAAGTAAGAACCAATACATAATAAAATGTAAATACTTCTTGATTCTTCTTGTGACTTAGTTTTAGTATATTTGTTTATTATTTATTATTTTAATTTACTGAAATATCACAATCATAAATTTTATGATTTATAAAGCAGGAATGCAGGATCACATTTATTTTATTAAATTATATTTAAACTACAATTAATAAAAATATAAACAATAAATTACCTTGGATTTCCATTGATTCATTTTTATTAATTTGGTTTACTTGTTCATTTAACTCATTAACAATTTCTATATTTCCATGATTACTTTGAGCTTTTTGTTCAACACTACCTAAATAAAATATATTAATTTATATATTTAAAAAAAAAATAATCAAAAAATTGAAAATTGAAAGAACCTACTTGAAAAATTTTAATATTTGGTGTGATTTAGTTTTAGTATGTTTATTTTATTTTTAACTAATTGAATGAACTGAAATATCATAATCATATTTTTTATGATTTACTTATAGGTAGTTTACCTAAGTTAACATTTAAATATTTAATATATTATATAAAACTACAATTAATAAAAACATAAACAATAATTTATTACCTTGGATTTCCATTGATTCATTTTTATTAATTTGGTTTACTTGTTCATTTAACTCATTAAAAATGTCTATATTTTCATGATTACTTTGAACTTTTTGCTCTACGCCACCTAAATAAAATATATTATTTTATATAGGTACTTAAAAATTAATCAAAAAAAATAGTACATTACTTTGAGCATTTTTTGATTGGCAAACACTTTCCTCATTAGTAATAACTACAATTTCAGGGTTATCCTGTGCTTTCAGTTCTACTTCTAAAAATAAGAAAATTACATTGATAATAATTACCTAAAATTTCAATTAATTTACAACAATAAACTGATTGAGCTATAATAACTATCTACTATTTATGATCTTTATTTTACAATTTAAAAAAACTAGCTCATTATACCTACAAATTGAAAAATTTATAATTGTATAAAATTGAACATTGTATAATTACCTGAATTGATGAATACAAAATTATTCATTAATCCTTTATATTTTTTTAATTCATTGTTTTGAATATTTTTTCTACGTCTTTTGGATGCTCCACTTTCAAACTGTCTGTTATTAGACATTTTTTTTTTTAAAAAAGTCAATAAAAGATAGTGTACATAGGTAATTTACGTTTTTAGTCAATAAATGAAAAAAAATAATATAACAGCGTACGTAAAAAATAAGTAACAATATTATAAAGTCTAAAACAATTTGATCGAAATCCAATAACAGTGCACCAAGAGTCAAGAGTCAAGACGTATCCGTAATTCGTAAATTATATTACCATTCACTATATAAATAAATTTATAAAGTATAACAACGGTTAATGGTTATCTGTAGTTCGTCCAGCTAGACACAGCAGTAATGCATTATCGCCCAGACGAAAAAATAAAATGATAGGATTATACAAAAACAGTATACGACGTATAGTGTATACTATAAATAATGTGTTTAAAAATAGATCTGTACAACGGACAATAACAATGATAAATAGAATTATCTGAAATTGCAACAGTCCTATTTATAAATAAATGGTTGTCAGTAACTTCTTAAAATAAATTATTCATTTCATTATAATATATTATTAAATATTGATAGTTAATTTAAAAAATATAGGACTTCGATCTGAGGCCCCTAATATAACCTCAGTCTTGTGGGATGTGGCCCCGGTGCATTGCACCCCCTGCACCCCTTCTAAATCCGGCACTGCTTGCAGGATGATCGCCTGCGCAGAGATCACACTTTGGTGGATCCGACCGTTGATTTGGACAGTCCAGGGACTTGTGATTTGAGCCACAGCGGACGCAGCGTGAGGGGTATCCACAGTAGGTTTTCGTGTGACCGTATTCCTGGCAGTTATTACATTGGCTAATTGTTTTAGATTTGTAGTTCTCTTCGACTTTGATTTTCGTGTGTATCAGTGAGGACAGATGAAAGATTTCAGCTGATTTAATTGTTGGCTCTAAGTCTACGAAAAAGAGGGGAAGTGGCGTTTTTGTTACTTTGTGGAGCACGTTTGTAACACGTCTTATTTCAAATAGACGAACTTCGAGTTCTTCTTTAATTGTGTCTACCTTCGTGGTTGGATGCAGGTTACGTATAACTACACGGATTGATTTATCTTGCTTAAGCTGATAGGTATGTGTGGTATTCGGCTTCTTGTTCTTTTAGGAACTGGATAAGTGCTCTGTAGAATTCGGGATTCGATGTTTGAATTTTTAAACGGTCAGCAAAAGCTTTACAGAAGAAATTATCCACGCCAATTAATGCAATTAAAGCTGTACATAGGTCTAGGTAGTTTTCCACACCTCTTACGAAGATGGGAGAGGGAGGTTTGTAAAACTTCATCCGAGATATCATTATTTTGTTCCAAATGCTGATACGATGACGAATTTGGGCCAGGCTCAACATCTTGATTTAGAATTTCGAATCGATTTGATGATTTAAACAGCTTGGTTTTTTTAACATTTTTTTGAGATTGAATTTTACCTGATCGCTTGACGATGAGGTTTTAGATGAGGTAGAGAGATTTATTTTATTTTTTTAAACAAGAGTAACATTTTTATTTGGATTATCGTTTGACATTGTTGTTTTGTTTTTACCGGCTTGTTGTTTTGTATTATTACTATTATTATTATTACCCATAATTATCTGCGGCGGCGACGACGTGTGTTTATTTTATCTTCGAACGCCTGGGGGTGGTCGAAGATAAGGTGAACTCGTATGAGCATGGGCGTAGTTTGGCATAATTATATGTGGGGGCTATATAGGACTAGAAAAATATACAATTCAAAAAACTCCTTTCGTTTAACTGGAATTAAAAAGAAAAAGAACTTAATTTAAGAATTTAATTATTAAATGAAACATAAGCTAGGCGTCTGTGTTTTTCTGAAAATATGTTAAGTACATTTTCTGATTCTATTGCATGTGATAAATCTCTTTCGATATGAAGTATTGACAAGCTTGTAAATCTATCATTTGTCATGGTATTTCTAGTCCAATTCTTTATTCGCCTCATAACAGAAAATGAACGTTCACATGAGGCAGATGATATAGGTATAGTAAGTGCAGTATGCAAAAGTTTATAAAAATTTGGAAAAATATTGTTGTCTACAACAGGTATGATGTCATCTATTTCATAATTTTCTTTATTGATTATATTTTTTAGGACTATCATTTCAGCCTTCAATCTTTCTGGACTTATGTTTAATATTTTCTAGAAAAAAAAATTTAAAAAATAAAAAATAAATCTTAATATATAGTTTTAAACTTCATAGGTTAGGTACCTCATACTTATTAACAAACTCAATACTTTCTTCATATTTTAATTGTATAAAATTGTCCACTCCTACACCGATTTTTAAACTTTCTAATGAAAACCTATTTTTCATGCCATTTATTACACAGTCCATTATTTTAAAATAAGCATTAATTTTCCAGTATTCAAAATTATCATATTTAATGATAGAAGAACAATCATCCGCTTCCCCAGTCTTAGAACTGACACAATAGTCACTTAAATGTATTGGCTCTTTCTTTTTACGCTTTGAACCTAAAAGTATAAATATTTGAATTTAAATTGATAAATAATAATTGAATACAGAAAAGTTTTTAAAATATACTTTTAGAGATGTCTAATGAAATGTCCAAATTGTCAGCAAATTCTTTTATATCTTTCCAAATTATTTCCTAAATCTAACTGAAACGAATCACTTAATGTAATAATTCCAGAATGCTCAGATTGAACATTGTTAGGAGCATCCGGTTCCGGTATTGACGAATTATTAATATTTATTGGACTTGGATCATCCACTGCACAGTCTTCGTTATCCCTAGTTGGTGTATTCTTGTCAGTTTTTTTCTTAATATTAAAAATACTAAACATTTTGTTTAAAAAAACACAAGAGAAACGAGAAAAATGAAATAAAGAAAGTAAAATTAATTTAAAATGTTTGAAATATGCTTTAAGAAAAATAAAAGAGACGTATGTGATTGCAGTACATGAGCAAACAACAAACCACGGTTTTCAGAAAAATACTGAAATATATAAATATTAT